TATGAACATCTGATCGCATGTGTTGCTGACGCTCGCACACGGTTTCGCGTTCGGGTCCTCGACACTGAGATTCGCTAAATTCGCACATACTATCGCGGTACTGTCGTTGGGTTCCGCAGGAGGTTTCTCTTTCAAACACTTGGTCCGGAAATCCTGGAATTGTTGTATGTCCGAATAAGCGTTGTCAACAAATGTATCGGCGGTTTGATTATATTCGTAACAATAATCGTTACTGGGTTCTCTAAAATCATCGTATGGGGAAGGTGTGTAGGCGGAGTATTGGGTATCGTCATATTCATTAGCGTAGTCCGTGTTGTATAGGTCTGGTTCACCGTAGTCGGAATAATCGTAAGAATCGGGGGTGACATGATTAATTCGATTGGGAGGATTTTGTCTAAAATTTCTTTGAAAATTAGGGTTTTGGAAATTTGGATTGCTCTGAATTACAGAGGGTCTTGGCGCACTCGCGTTAGGCGCATTTGGTCGTATTACAGATGGGCTGGGAGGATATTGATTAGAATTTTGATGGTAGTTAGATTTAGATGGTCTAACTTGTATAGATTGATTCGGCCTATAGTAATTTTGAGGTTGGGGCTGGTTAAACTGTCTTGGGGCAAAACTTGTAGACTGTTGTCTTCGTTGGCATTCATTTGCCAAGTGACCAGGACGATTACAAAAATTACAAATTTTAGGGTTTGGTCTTCGAATAACTGAATTTTGATTCGGGTTTGGGGCTCTGGCTAATTTTTGTCGTTCCAAATATGAAAGTTGTAACTCTCGTTTGATATACGAAACTGCGGTCAAGATATCCGTGGGATGTCCTGATCGCACAACAGGTCCTATTTTTGAGTCTAATCCTGTTAATAGACAATTTAAAGTCATCGTTTCGATGAGGGAACTTTGAGCAGATTTTTGCTCGCGATTTAGATTTTGCCTATTCACGGCGGAATGCATTTTGGCTGCATGCGTCTGCAGTCTAGATGCAAAGGTTAGGGGTGATTCGTTGGGGAGTTGGCGCATATGTTGAAGATCCGCGATTAAAGATGTGAGATCTCTAAGATCTCCAAAGTGGGTTTCTAACAGGGACCGTATGTCTTCCCACGTGGAAGGGTTTCGGCTGTTCACAAGTTCGGCGGCACGTCCGCGAAGTTTGTTTTTAATATGTAAAACGACGAGAAGCCGCTGCTCCTCGACGGCCATTTAATATGCCGTTCGGCACGCGTTGATGAAGGTCGATAGCAATATCGGGTTTCCATCGTACTCGGGTACAATCGAAAATATTTCAGATAATCTATAAGGTTCAATGCTCGCACGAACGTTATCAGGAATTTCAGCTGGTTGGTAATCATCTGAACCGTTAGTAGACATTTTAAATGGAAAGTTGTTTCAAAAAGATTCAATAATGTCAAGGGAAAATGCAAAAAGATATAAATGTAAAATAGAAAAATACGTAAAAATGGGGAAAAATACGTGAAAATCGACAATATATAGAGTAAATGCGCAAAAATGCAAATAAAAAGTTGTAACAATCACACACACAGAGATAAATCGCAAAAAATAGTTAGATTAAAATTGTACGTTACCAAGGGTACATCGGGAGGCAGTTGTGTTCTCCGGGCGGCTAGTGGATCTCTTGCGATGTTTCCAGTAGTCTGTCTGCAGTTGGGTGGCTGCTGCTCGCTGTGTCCCCTGTTGTTTTCTTTCTTCTTGTTGCTTTGTAGTTTCCTACTTGTAGTTTTCTTTCTTCAATGGGTTTCTTTCTTCTTAAGGCTCGTTGGTCCTTTTCAGCTTTTTGGTGAACAAATCATAATCAACTGTCTCTGCCCACACTCCGCCGATACACGACGCGAATTCGTACCTAAAATCTCCCAGCGTTTGAGAAGCTTCATTCCATCCAGGGCCTTTGATTTCTTACCTTTCGTCTTTCACTCATACGCAATTGGTCTATCAAATGCTCAAGTTGATGATTCCATTATTACCAACGGCAGATAATGATAATATATCAATTTTCCTATTTTTAAATCTTCAGAACACAACACTTAGAAATACGAAATATACACAATCCTTAAAGTGTTTTGAAGAGTGCTCCATGTAAAATTTCTCTAAGAATTCTAGTTGCTACGCTCAAAACTCTTATTGTTATTGTAACCTGTTTATCGCATGTCCTTTCGCTAAATATTACCGTGTATGTTTAGCTTTTGCTTAGAGTGATCCATCAGACGGCGGTAAAGGACATCAAAGAAATAAACCGGCAATAAATTATACTCGATAAAAGAGGGACGCACTACCTAAAGACAGGTCGCAGGACGACGTGTTTCTGCTCCCCTGATTACTCATCGCCGACGGTCGGTTTAATAACTGGTCAGTCAGATTCCCAGAGATTGAGAGATGAATTTTTCTATGGTATGTCAAATATATTTGGTATTCAATAGACAAGCCAAAAATTGAAATGATTATGGAGTATATATACAGGGTGACTTTGAAGTTGAGTCATTAATTTTCAGATAATGATTGTAGAAGGAAGATAAACCAGAATATGTGTGTAAAAATAAAAAAAAAAGTAAAAAAAAATTTTTACCTTGTTTTATAAAGTATCCTCCCGACAAGTATTTCAGTGCGGACCTGTATTTGATCGTGAGGTCCCCTGTGAGGTCTTAAGTCACCTGATTCACGAGCCCGTTGTACTACATTAACAAAGGCACGAGGGGTTGGTTGTACTCGATTTCGAAACCGATCCGCATAAACATGTGCCATTTTTTATTTCGTTTGAGCCACGCAACAGACACTATTCACACGCTAACCGACAGACACTGAATGTATGTATAACTGAACTGAATAAAATACTTAATTACAAAAACATCGTTCCAAATTCTTTCGCTTTTTTGTTTCCGATGCGATGAACCGGTAAGGCGGATTATATCCGTTGTTGCCAAACACGAGTACATGATATTATTATTGAGACAGGGCGGTACTCAAACTTCCAAAGGGCTATAACTTTGTTACTTTAATTTTACCAGAAAAATGGTAAAGGAAAAAAACATTTCTTTTGATCAGATCTACTCACTATTAAAATAAATGACTCAACTTCGAAGTCACCCTGTATATATATAGAGGTATATACAGGGTGGCCAAACACGTGACGTCATAAAAAAAAATTAGATTCCCCACATCGAGAGGGACCCAAATCACCCCCATATATATGGTCCGATTTTGTTTAGTTTAGGAGTTATGATTTTTTTTCGGATTTTTCGAGAATTTTTGAGTTCTGTGTTTATTTTTACCATAACTTCGTTAATAATTGTGATAAATGCCTGCTTTTTTCACGATTATGTAGCTAAGACCTAAGGCTTAACTATCATATAATCATTCAAGTCATGTAACTAATACTACTTTTTAATTTTTTTCAAAATCTTCGAACATAACAAAAAAGTAAAAAAGTGCAACAACTTTGAACGTTTATAAAAAATTGAAAAAACATGTTCTTACTATTCGTAAGTATCTTAAAAACTTCCTTACGGTATCAGCTATTTACCGTAAAAATTTCATCAACCTAGCTTTACTACATGCTACCGTAATTGTGGCTCAAATAGAACCGAAATTGGATAACCCTCTGCTCAATAGAAATTGTTAGTTTCGGAAAAAAAATTTGCAAAAACCACAAAAACACGTTTGATTTTTACTGAACAGCAGATTATTATTCATTTATGTTATTTACAAGAGGTTTTCAAAATGTCTGCCTGTAACAGAAATGCACAGTGTACACCTACGTATGAAATTTTGTTTTAAATCTCTAAATGCTTGTGTGTTGTTTTTCAACACATGTGTCGCTTCTTGAATTTTGTTCCTCAATGAATTTTCATTTGCACATTCTTGGGCGAATGTTATGTCTTTAAAATATCCCCAAACAAAAAAATCAATGGGGTTGAGGTCAGGGGAGCGTGGAGGCCATCGTATCGGTCCGTTTCGTCCGATCCATCTGTCTGGGAACCTTTCGTTTAAGTAGTTTCGCACGATCGTTGCGTTGTGGCATGGTGGACCATCATTCTGGAACACCATGTTCCGTCTGGCTTCCAGGCTTGAATCTTCCAGCAATAATGGTAGGCTATTTTCAAGGAAGCTTTTGTAGGCTACCGAATCCGGTAGCATGTAGTAAAGCTAGGTTGATGAAATTTTTACGGTAAATAGCTGATACCGTAAGGAAGTTTTTAAGATACTTACGAATAGTAAGAACATGTTTTTTCAATTTTTTATAAACGTTCAAAGTTGTTGCACTTTTTTACTTTTTTGTTATGTTCGAAGATTTTGAAAAAAATTAAAAAGTAGTATTAGTTACATGACTTGAATGATTATATGATAGTTAAGCCTTAGGTCTTAGCTACATAATCGTGAAAAAAGCAGGCATTTATCACAATTATTAACGAAGTTATGGTAAAAATAAACACAGAACTCAAAAATTCTCGAAAAATCCGAAAAGAAATCATAACTCCTAAACTAAACAAAATCGGACCATATATATGGGGGTGATTTGGGTTCCCCTCGATGTGGGGAATCTAATTTTTTTTTTATGACGTCACGTGTTTGGCCACCCTGTATATGTGAGCCTTTCGCTGAATCGCTACGCTACGCCATCGAATATGTTTTGTCTATTGAATATGTTTTGTCTATTGAATATGTTTTGTTTACTTCTGGCGACCGAGAATATTCCGATGTGCTGCGATGTGTTTTTGTGGGCAAGGTGATTAGTCATAGTCAGTCTTGTAACAGATGCTGGAGTGAATACATGTGATACAAGTTATGAAGTGTTTGATTTTCCCTAAGAAAATGATAATTTTCTCACATCAGAAGTGGGATTCAACTCGCTAAAAGGACCACAGAAGAAATACATAGTGCAACCTGACTTATTTCGAGTATGCGTGCGTGAGCAATTCATTGTCCTGAGCGTATATACCTAGTGAGCGTTACTTTTGGCAGTGATACTCAAGTGCTAAAAGTCTGTCGAAATGGAGGAATTAACCAGGGTTTTAACTGCAGTTCTTCGAGGAATTCAGCAGCAACCCCAACAAGAAGCAGCGGCGCCGGTGTTGCCAGCACCCTCTGCGCCAATTAACATTCCAGCTTTCGATCCCTCAAAAAGCGATGCGGGAGCGATGGGTTGGTGCGACGATATGGAGACCTTGGCGACCACGTTCAAGTGGACTGATTTTGAACAGCTTTGCAGAGCCGCGGGTGCCCTCTAAGGTGACGCAAAGGATTGGTATGACAACTGGCACCCATCAAATAAAGTTTGGGCTAGTTTCCGGGCCGAGCTTTGTCAGCTTTATCCTGCGAAGAGGAATCTTAGTGAGCGGTTACGTAAAGCTAGTATGTACAGAAGTGACCAAAGTGAGTACGCAAGGAAAAAAATATCTTTGTTAAACTCTCTAGATTTTAATTTGAGTGATAGTCAAATAGTTGAGATAGTTATTGGTGATATAACGGACACACATGTCAAAACAGCTGGTTTTAATAGTAGAGTTGATTCCATTTCGACCTTACTTAACTTGCTTAGCAACTATCAAATTAATAAACAAGACTCTCAGCTTCAAGTAGGGGCGCCAAAACGCCCGAATCCGTTTAAACATAATGATGAGAGAAAAATATGTTATTCCTGTAAACAACCTGGTCATATCAGCCGGAATTGTTTTAAATCGCTTAAATTATTTAAATACGATAATACTAATAAGGCGAGAAGCTCAAATAATCTGCCAAGTATTGCGAAACCCTGTGAGATCTGTACGAAATTCGGGCATAATTCTGAAAAATGCTTCTTCAAAAGTCAAAATAAAGCAGAGAAGTCGTCCAGATTCTCCAAAATAAACTATTTCTGCGTAGATCTAGATAATGACTTTTGCATAAAATTCAAAATACAAAATTTGACCGTAAACTGTTTGATCGACACGGGTGCAGAATGTAGTTTGCTATCCGAAAAAGTCGCCCATAAATTACACTGTCATTTCGAACCAACTTTCATAATGTTAAAGGGTGTAGGAGGCAACTCAATACCAAGTTGTCAAAGGGCTAATTTACTAGTTGAGAGAGAGGGGACGGCATTTGAAATTAGTTTTTATGTTGTCGAAACTTCTGTTATGGAATTAGATGCAATTTTGGGTAGAGATTTATTCAATCATAAAGGAATCAGAATTTGCACTGACTCATGTGGGTCTAGAATTTATCTCGATGACACAAATAACATAGAATCTAAAAAGATTCAAAACGTAACAATTTCTCCCGAGAAAATTCAAACACCACTGAATGGACATGATTTCGACGCCTTGTTGAAATTATTATCAAAATATAGCGATTCTATAACTGTTGGTAATTCCGTGAGGGCGGTAACAACCGGTGAAATGGAAATCAAATTAAAAACCGATAAAATAATTTGTTATAACCCTTACCGAATGTCATTGTCCGAACGAGAAAAGGTAAAAGATATTATTGACGACCTCTTGCAAAACAATATCATACGTGAAAGCACGTCGCCTTTTGCTAGTCCAGTTATTCTGGTGTACAAAAAAGATGGCAGCCGACGTTTATGCGTAGACTATCGCGCCCTTAATGGAATAACCATTAAAGATCGGTTTCCATTGCCACGGATAGACGACCAAATTGATCAGCTGGGGGGAAGCAAGTATTTTACGACTCTCGATATGGCAGCGGGGTTTCATCAAATTCCTATGGCTGAAAACTCTATTTCCAAAACAGCTTTTGTCACGCCTGACGGGCATTTTGAATACATGCGTTCACCATTTGGTCTATCGAATTCCCCTGCAGTATTTCAACGGGCGATTTGTAAAGCTCTGGGTAAGCTCAAAGATACCGATGCGCTGGTTTATATGGACGACGTAATCATTCCATCAAAAACCATCCAGACAAGTTTAGAAAAACTTGATCGGGTCCTAGCGTCCCTTACCTCAGCGGGCTTCAGCTTAAACATTAACAAATGCAAATTTTTTCAGAAAAAAATTGTTTATCTTGGTCGAGAAATTTCCGAAGATGGTGTAAGGCCCGACGAAGGAAAATTAAAAGCTTTATTCAATGCGCCCGATCCAAAAATGTAAAACAGGTCCGCCAATTTATGGGCCTAGCCGGGTACTTTCGCAAGTACATCCCTGAATTTTCAACGAGCACAGCTTGTATTACAAACCTAACAAAAAAAGGAGTCGATTTTGCGTGGGGAACCGAACAAGAAGTTGCCAAAAATTACGTTTGTGCCTTTCTGTCTCAACGACCTCTCCTAGCGATCTTTGACCCGACTTTAGACACGGAACTTCATACAGACGCGAGCTCTTTGGGGTTCGGGGCTATGCTCTTCCAAAAAGTAGATAATAAACTTAAAGTCATCTCTTATTTTTCAAAACGTGCTTCAAAGGAGGAAAGTAACTACCACTCATACGAGCTTGAGACTCTAGCCGTCTATTATGCAGTAAAACATTATCGCGTTTACTTATATGGAATCACATTTAAACTTATCACTGATTGCAACTCGCTAAAATTGACTCAGAAAAAAAGAGACTTATTGCCCAGAGTCGCGAGGTGGTGGCTCTACCTGCAATCGTTTAACTTTAATATCGAATATCGGAAGGGTAAATATATTCCACACGTCGATTATTTTAGCCGAAACCCACCTCAACCATTTGAAGAAATCGAATGCGTCGCCCCCGTGAATGTTCTTACAACTAATAACTGGCTTAAAATTAACCAAAAGCACGATCCCGAAACTCGTGATATCAAATCAAAATTACTCGAAGGTCAGCTAACCCTCGACTACTTCTGTCAAAACGAAGTTCTATTTCGAAAAATTAACCCTGGCCAAAACCCACCAATTTACAGGGCTTTCGTTCCAAAGGGAAGTAGACTCGGTTTGTTAAAAATTTTTCACGACGAACAGTCGCACGTTGGACCGGATAAGACCTTCGCAAAGCTAAACCATTATTTCTGGTTCCCGCGAATGACACGTTTCGTCAAAAAGTATTGTGACCACTGCCTTAAATGTATTGTAAATAAAAAACACACTGGGCGCAAACAAGGACTATTACACCCTATCGAAAAGACCCCAATTCCATTTCACACAGTGCATTGCGACTGTGTAGGACCATTTCCTCTAACATCAGAGGGTTACAAACATGTTCTTCTTTTAATAGACGCATTCACGAAATATCTATTTCTAATTCCATTAAAAACCCTTTCTGGACCTGAGACTTGTAAAAACCTAAAAATTTATTTAAATATTTTTGGGAACACTAAACGGTTGATAAGTGATAGGGGAACTAATTTTAGCGACCAACAAGAAAAGAGTTACTCTCAAAATTAAACATTACCCAACATCTAATTGCCAAAAGTGCCCCACGCGGAAATGGGCAGGTAGAGCGATACGTCTCAACAGTTCTAGACCTGCTCAGAGTAAATGTCAATAATAATAAGTCAGAATGGGCGAGCGTTCTCCCCAAATTACAACTGACCCTTAATACTACTATGCAAAAAACCACGGGATTTTCCCCGCTCTATTTGTTAACAGGGCAACTTATGGATACCATGGACATTCACAATTTAAAAGAGAGTATAAAACCAGTGACGACTACTGATCAAAATTTAATTAATGATCGTAAAACTGCCTACGAACGCTCTCTGCGTTGCGGTTTAGAGTCAAAAGACAGATTTGATAAAAGCCGAAAAACAACTAACAGTTTTAAAGTAGGAGACATAGTTTTCCATCCATCTGGAAATTCGCACCTTCGATAGTTGTTAGTGAAACAAATTTACAAAAAAATATATTTGAAATCAATTCAATCGCATTAACATTATTTGTACTTACCAAAGTCATTCTTTTTGCTGTCTTCCAGGTTGTCAAAATCCTTCAGCAGTTCGTGACAAACTTCATGCCACGCATTCCTTGTGGCGTTCCGATCTTTGAAACTCTCCAATGTTTTGTCCCACAGAACAGGCCTTGTTTGGACACAATGGATCAACAATTCATTGTCAATAACAACATCCATGTCGGCCATGATCAACCACCAGAGTGGGCCGTCGCGTCGCCGTCGGTCGGTAGACTTGACGATGAGTGTGTCTCCGTGCATTTAGTCACAAACGTCACCGCCAGGCGAGGTCGGTAAAAAAACCGACGTCCGTAGTGGCAGCCGGTGGCAGCATTTCTACCGTCGGCGTTGAAAAATCCGATCGTCTATTTTAACGCTGAATGTGTACATCGCCATAAGATCCCATCGACGGCAAAAAAACCGATCGGAAAAAATCGCCAAGTGTGTTCCCGGCGTAAAGGTTGAGGGTGTTTCCTGTCGGGAGTAATAATAATACTAATAAAAATAATATCCAATTGACAAAGGTATGTGGTACACAAACATAAATACAAATATAAAAACTAAGAACATAAATGACACACAAAAATATAAAGTAGATATTGATACATGTTGTGGAAGAAGTTTCAGGATCAAAAATGTATTGCGCAATAGGGTTCGCGACTTGCTAGATTGAAATGTCCTCCGCAAAATGTTATGGTGTATGAGCCGGGCGATTGTTGTCAACATGGACTAAACAATTAGGGCAAAGAAAACAGTGAAGCATGTTGCGGCACTGGTGCCGAAGAAGGGCGTTTCAATTCTAACAAGTTGCATAGACATGTTGCAGTTCCAGTTTGTTAGATGGGAAACCTCCCTTAGTTGCATTGGTTGATATCTTATGAGATCAGGGGCTTGAATCTGAATGACCGTTGAAATCAATTTCGGTGGCGTCTTGTGACGATATACTTGATTCCGAATGATGCTTTTGCCATATGGTTACATCGATTATTTAATATTGAAATTTTCATGGCAGTGTAAAAATTATCGTAGCGAATTTGTTCCAACTACTGACTTTTTAATGATTGCATCGTATTTCTAGCTAATTTTAGGAACATACCGACTCAAACAGGGTAGTTTCACCCTTCGTGCAAAAATATCTAGAAAGAGGTAAGCAGCTTTTCAAAAAAGCTAACAGAATTGGTAAAGAATAAAAATGAATGAAGCGCATCGTTTATACAGTTATGTAGGCGTAGAAGTAAAATTATTTTTTTATACTTGACCTAGAGATACTTTGCACCCTCAGAACATAGGCAGCTTTTTATATCTCCCACCTATACAGGGTGTCCGCAAAGTTGGGGTTTTCCTTTACACGACGTGTAGATCTTAAGAAAATAAGCGGATTTGCTTAGTAGCATATACGTACGTACGTCTTGGATTACATTTTGATATATCACAAAGGTCATCAACTAGTTTCGCAGGAAGTTCAACAAAAACTAAATTTGGATCCGTTCTTTGTAAAAGCAGCCCTTTTCGGGAAATCCCAAGGGTTGGTATGTTTACTAGAGTACCAACCCATTTTGCATATTGTTTTGCCACGGGCAGGTAAGTAATCCCCTCCAATGCAATTCAACCTATCACTTACATGATTTATTGAGCCTGATAGTGGATTTCAAAAATACCAACGACCATGCGAAATTGAGATATTTCTCAGTTGGTGATGATTTCCAAGTTTCCTGGTTTTCAAATTCCGAAAATTAAAAAGTATATATAACACAATAGACAGATAGATAACTAAATAGATATTAACTAGATCATCTCATCGATATACTGCACGTCATTATCGTACATAAAGAATAATAGTAATATACATAGATACATAAAAGTATAGATACATTCAAAAACAAAGATATTCGTTAAGATTAAATTGACATTGGCAAGAGAAAAACATGTATGTGAAATGTATTACTAAACTATAGCTAAAATTGCACATATGAATTTCCATGTCAATTGAATGGTCGCTCGCGTCGTACGGTACCCACCCCATCGTTTTAGCAATTATATGTACGTATATAAGTTGTGGTTATATTGCTCTAGCTATTACCCGCGACTTCCTAAGCATTAAATTTGTTACTAACCATATAACATAGGTTTTGAGTATTTCTATGACTGCATTGTACAGTAAATTAACAGACAGCTTGCCCGCTTGGAAATCATGGTTATTTTATTGTGCAGACAGACTGCGGGGATAAAAACACGGTCCGGACGGCTAACGTATTAATATTAGCAATATTTTGAAATTAGCATTTTAAATTAAACTAAATTTTACATTGTAAAAGTTACCAAATTTAACGTCTTGTGCAGATAGACTCTTATCCTTGACAATATTCAGATATATGAAGATTCTAAGCAATTTCAAATAAACTTGAACGTGTCCTTTAATCCCTTATATGGTCCTGCCACAAAATCCATTTTCCTGAGATGTCCTGACTATAGACTACCTTCCTGACAAAACTCTTTTTTGTTTCCGACATTTCGTCATTAATGTGTGTCTTTACGCTTTTACATAAATATAATGCCGTCAGTACATGGAGTACAGGAAAAAGCTAATTTGAATAGCAAAAACATACGTGACAACTGAAGATAGATCTACTAAATAGTTGGAACTTTGTACAGTGTAATTGATAATAGATCATTTTTAAGTTCCCTACATATACGAGTATAAACAAGGAAGAGGAGCAAATCCGCGCATTCTGGTTTTGGTTTAGCAACATCGAAAGTAGGGTGTGATAGAGTAGGATCTATTAATACCAATAGTGCAAAAAACTTTTTGACTTTCAAATATTTTAACAAATATTTTTATTCAACTTTGCTATATACATAGGGGCTCACAATAGACGGGTTCTGGACTTGCTTTCGGAAAACGGCTAGTAGGGAGTGATAAGGTAGATCATATTGATCCGAGAAATGTAAAAAACTTTTTGGTCTTCGGCTGTTTTGATGAATAATAGATTTTTTCAAATTTGTCATGTATAAATAAATACGGGTCAAAAACGGAGGGTTCTGGACGTACTTTCGGAAAACGGCTGGTAGGGAGTGATAAAGTAGATTATATTGATGCCAGAAATGTGAAAAACTTTTTGGTCCTCGGCTGTTTTGATGAATAATAGATTTTTTCAAATTTGTCATGTATAAATAAATACGGGTCAAAAACGGAGGGTTCCGGACGTGCTTTCGGAAAACGGCTGGTAGGGAGTGATAAAGTAGATCATATTGATGCCAGAAATATAAAAAACTTTTTGGTCTTCGGCTGTTTTGATGAATAATAGATTTTTTCAAATTTTCATGTATAAATAAGTACGGGTCAAAAACGGAGGGTTCCGGACGTGCTTTCAGAAAACGTCTGGTAGTGAGTGATAAGGTAGATTATATTGATGCCAGAAATGTAAAAAACTTTTTGGTCTTCGGCTGTTTTGACGAATAATAGATTTTTCAAATTTGTCATGTATAAATAAAGAGGGGTCAAAAACGCAGGGATCCGGACGTGCTTTCGGAAAACGGCTAGTAGGGAGTGATAAGGTAGATTATATTGAAGCCAGAAATGTAGAAAACGTTTTGGTCTTCGGCTGTTTTGATGAATAATAGATTTTTTCAAATTTTCATGTATAAATAAATACGGGTCAAAAACGGAGGGTTCCGGACGTGCTTTCAGAAAACGTCTGGTAGGGAGTGATAAGGTAGATTATATTGATGCCAGAAATGTAAAAAACTTTTTTGGCCTTCGGCTGTTCTGACGAATAATAGATTTTTTCAAATTTGTCATGTCAATGAAGAACAACTTTTCAAGAATTAATTAATTTAATTGAATACTGCAAAAGTAAATCGGTATATATAAAAAAATTAAGAATACGTACAAATAACACCTGGATAAATAATGAAGTCCTTGAGCTTATCAAAAAAAGAGATAAATTATATAAAAGAAAGATTAACCAACCAGAAAGCTTAACTATCATCTCTGAATTTAAAAACATCAAAAATAAAATAAACAATAAAATACGTGCTTTGAAGAACCGTTATTTCCAAACTAAATGGAGCTTAGCTGGAAACAATGTAAAGAAACAATGGGCTTTTATAAACAGCCTAATACAAAATAAGGAGTATAAAGTAAGAATTGATCAACTAGTAACTGAAAATAACATTATTAACACTCAACTTGATATTGCAAACAATTTAAATAAATACTTTTCTCGGGTCGGTGGATCAATTGTTGAAAATTTGGAAGCAGAGATTCAGCAGTTGAATGAGTTTATTTCTGCTGGTGAGGTTCACAACGAAGATTCTATTTCGATAACATTGACTAATAAATAAGAGTTGTTGGAAGTTGTGAAAGAACTAAAAATAAACTCAGCACCTGGATATGACGGTAACACGGTTAAGGATGTAAATAATCTTGGAGAATACTTAATACCTGTTTTAGTACGATTAATCAATGAAACTATACAAAAAGGAATATTTCCATCAGAATTGAAAATTATTAAAATAACCCCACTTTTTAAGTCGGGAGATATTAAATGTATGAACAATTACAGGCCTATTTCAGTGGTGTGTGTATTCTCTAAGATTATAGAAAAAATAATAAAAAAAATAATGTTATCTTTCATTGTTACTCACAATATATTGATTGATGAATTTCAATATGGTTTTATAATGAACAGTAGCACACTTAGTGCGGTTGTTGATTTTGTGGACTACATTTCAATGGCTCTAGATAAACAACAAATAGTTGTAGCTGTTTTCATTGACCTAAAAAAGCTTTTGACGTAGTAAGCATAGAAATTCTTTTAGATAAATTGTTTAAAATGGGATTTAGAGGTGTTTCGTACAGCTTGATTAAGTCTTATTTATATGACAGAAAACAGTACATAAAGCTTGGAGACATTGATAGTGAATGGTTATCTAGCACCTATAGAGTACCACAGGGGTCAGTTCTTGGACCTCTGTTATACAGTCTTTATGTACTGAACCTCAAGTTGGCCAATCTGAGGGGAAGATATTTTACCTTTGCAGATGACACTGTACTGGTATATACTGGAACAGACGAAATTGCTTTAACGAATCTTATTAATGATGACCTGAATAGTTATCTTAAATGGCTGTTTTCGAATAGATTAAAAATTAACATTGAAAAAACAAAATACATTATATTTAAACAAAAAAATAAGATAGTTAGCAATAATCTAAATATTAACATAAATAATATAGCGCTATAAAAAGTGTCAAGTATTAAATATTTGGGATTACTGATAGATGAAAGTTTAAATTGGTCACTTCACGTAAAT